GCTTACTAGGGAAGGGTAATTGCATATACAAGCTTTGAGGTAAAACCTTAGACTTAGCATTTTTACAAGTGATGCATTTACTACAAACCCCATCAATGCCAACGTTCATTTTAGGTCAATAAAAATGTTCATTTAATATATCCAAGGTCTTCTTAACCCTAAAGTGACCCATTAAACCCCTATAATGTGTTTTGCATACTAACAATTCTCTCATTGAACACATAGGTATACATAACTTATTTTCTCGAAATAAATATCCATTTGCCTAAAGAATCTATTTATAGCACCCTTGTCACATGATTCATATATATTAACAAAGTTTGGATCATTAGTATACATGTATTTAACATATTCAAATCCTAGCAATTTGACACTTAACGAAGTTAGTAGTACATACCTCATTGACAATGCATCCGCTTCGACGTTTTCCTTACTATATTTGTTCTGAATAATGTAAGGAAATGTCATTGATGAACTCTATCCACCTTGCATGCCTCTTGGTTAGTTTATCTTTGACCTTTAAAATGCTTCAACGACTTATAATCGGTGTGAATCGAGAGCTCTTTTAGCCATAGGTAGTGCCACAGTATCTCTAAAACTCGAACAAGCAAATACAACTCTTTGTCATATATAGGATAATTGCGAGCTGTTTCACTGAAGTAAGCTATTGGCCTTCATTTCTACATCAAGGCAACTCCAGTTATCACTGGTGCATTACCCAACCTATCATTAGTAGTATTAAAATCATGTTCTTGTTCGATTTCCTAATGAAATCCTACACTTTTCTTTACAATCTCCATGGGCGGTGTTGCAATTGTGTTAAAAGTTTTTAACAAAACGTCTATAGAAGTTAGCTAAACTGTGAAAATTCCTTACTTTAATTATGCTTTTAGGTGTCGGCCATTCGTTGATAGCTTTGATTTTCTTCTCACCACTTCAATTCCCTTTGCACTAACAATAAAACCAAGAAAAACAACTTTTTCCATGTAAAATATACATCTTTTAAAGTTAGTATAAAGTTGTTCTTGTCTTAAGACCACAAGCACATATCTTAAATACCCTAGATGCTCATTTAAATCCTTACTATATACCAAGATATCATTGAAGTAAAATGCTACGTATTGACCTATGAATACACGAAAGACATGATTCATTAATCTCATAAATGTGCTAGGTGTATTAGTAAGTTCAAATGGCAACCATACTTAGTTTTGAAAGTAGTTCTCTCATCCTAATTTTTTGATAACCATTCTTGATATCTATTTTACTAAACATGTGAGATCAATGTATAAGATGACGATATTTTAGCGTTATGTTGTTGGTCGCCCGATAATTTACGTACGTCCTCTAAGTCCCATCTTTCTTCGACACTAGTAATACTGGCATGGCATATGTATTGTTGTTTTCTCTCATGTACCATTTGCTTATTAGTTCTTCCACATACCTTCGAAGTTTCTTGGTCTCATTGGGATTACTCAGATTACCTAGTCCATTTGGAATGATAACTTCAGCTATGGAGTCAATTTGATACTTAATGCCTCAAATGGAAGATAACCCACTAGGCATGTCCTCTGAAAACACGTCTTCAAATTCTTACAACAAAAAAATAGCCAGATTATGGAGGGTATTTTAGCTTCTTCAAGATTGAGGAATGATTCCTTATAAACCAATATGATCATGAGTCTGTTCTCAACTACTACTCTCTTTGTCTGACTCTATTTTGCAAAGAAATGCACTTTCGACTTTTCTCTCATCTCACAAGACTCTTTTTTCTCTCTCTTGTTGCTCTATTCTTTTTCTCACAATTAGCCACCTCATTTTTTTCTTTTATTTTCTTGTTGTGAAAGATCAATTTCGCTCCCATTTTTTCTCAATCTTTTTACTTCCCCACTTTTCACTTTGATTTGATCTTCATTCACTTATGCTAGTATTAAAGTCGCAAGAATAATATATTTCCCATCCTTAGTAAAGCTGTACCTATTTTTGTACCATCATGTATCACCTTTTTATCATACTGTCATGGTCTCCCCAATAAAATGTGCTCCATATCCATTGGAACTACATCAAACATCACCTCATCATGATACATGTCAATTGAGAAACTCACCAACACTCGTCTATTCACCTTCGCCTCTCAACATTTATTCAACCATTGTAATTTGTAAGGCCTACAATGTTTTAGCATGGTTAATCTTAATTTCTCAACAAGTGTAGTGCTAGCCACATTAGTACAACTCCCCCATCAATAATCATACTATATACCTTGTTGTTAACATAATATCTCGCATGAAATATGTTTTTCCTTTGTTGTTCCAAGTCATCTACTTTGATTTGAAGACTAAGAGCTTACCTTGTGCCTAACAGCTCTCCCATTGCATACTCTACTTTTTCACCATCACTAGCATCCTCCAGTTCTGGTATGTCTTCATAATCATCCTCATTATCGCTTACCACTTCCTTATTATCTCATAGAATAATCACCCTTTTGTTTGGACATTGAGATACAATGTTTCCCGATCCCAAACACTTAAGACATTTGATATCTTGATTCCTAGAGGGTTAGGAATCCGTATTGGGTGTAATTTTGCTTGCAACTTCCTCTCTTCCCTTCAGTAGCTCAGTCCTACCCTTCGAGACAACCCCCATCACCTTTATTATTGTCCTATTTTAACTTCCACACAAATTTAGAACCTGATGGGTATTTAGCTATTCTCTTCCTCTTCAATTGTCGCTCTACTTTCATAGCTACATGTAGTATGTCCGATAACTCCATGTAATGTTATAGTCCTACCAAATTAGCTATATCCCCATTCAGACCATTCAAAAATCGGACCATGGTGGTCTCTCGATCCTCCTCAACATTCGGTTTAATCATGGCAATGTCCATCTCGTTATAATAATTCTCTACACTCCTAGATCCCTGATGGAGGCTTTATAATTTTTGATAAAGATCTTTATAGTAATGATTAAAGATGAATCTCTTCCTCATTTGCCTTTATTTCTCCCCATACTTCGATAGCCCACTCATGGTTTCTCTTCCTAGAGGTTGCTATTTGATCCCACCAAATGATAGCGTAATTAGTAAACTCAATGATAACAAGTTTTACCTTTTTCTCTTTCGAGTAATTATGACAATCAAATATAAGCTCTATTTTTTTTTCTATTCCAAATATGTCTCCGGATTGCTCATTCCCTTGAATGACAGAATGGTCATTTTAATATTGCTCATATTCCTATCAACTTCATCTCATTTATAATCTCTAGCCTTTCATCATGCCTATTTCCCCTATTCCTCATCCTTCTTGTTTCAGCCTCTACCAATGCATCATCATCAACTGCACTACCCTCTAACCTTCACCTCTGATTTTCGATCTAGGCTCTCGCCTACGATGCCTCATCGCCTTAGAAACTCCTCTATGTTGTTCCAAATATGTAAATTAGCAAGTAATGTGTCTTGCCTCTCCATCCATACCTCTTGTTTATCCTTTCTATCTCCCATATCTCTAAACTGCCTCTCAAATCGCCATATCATATCTTCTGTCGTGATGACTTGATTATTCTTTCCCTTATAGTAGAATCGTCTTTGTCAGACATCATAAATCTAGAATAATTTACCTCATGTATCACTCAACCTGGTTTTTTCCGTCTATTAGTCTCATTGTTCTACCTTTTTTCACTCAATGTTTCTTTGCAAGTATTTCAAGTTCTAATTCGACCTCAATCACATTTCAATCCTTTTGAAATTCAAATAAAGAATTGAGTAAGGAAAATTTGACTTTGACTCTATAGTAACTTAAGAAGTAGGAGTTAACACTCGAATGGAACACTAAGGATAAAATCAAGAAGATATTTCTTGAATTTGAATTGGATATTTTCGATTTTTGGACTCTCTTTGTTTATGGAACTATTAAACTTTTTTTACAAATTTTCAATTTTTTTAAACGTACAAGAATTCAATAAGGAGTCCAAAAATTTGAAAAGAAATTGATTTGGGCACTAATTTAGTGAGCAAACAATTTTTGAATTTGTTTGGAACCCGAGTTGAATTGAATGACTTAAAAGATAAAGAACACGAAGAATGAGGATGAAAATTCAAACAAAAAGTAAATGATATAACCTTGATTTCTAGAACTCAAGCTTTGATACCAAAGATACAAAACCGCGTAGCAATTGAAAACTACGGAATCAACGGCAAATTAGATCAAAGCCAAGAAAGCAAGAATCAATAGAAAGCTCGGCCTGATAAATTATTGAACCAAAGAACCAAGATAATGGGAAATAAAATCTTGACCTCGTGATCACAAAACTTATGACCTTACTTGAATTGTTGAACACCAGAAGAAATTAATTCTTGACAAGATCTAAAATTAATTCAAGGAAGAACGAGTAGAAAGAAAATAAGCCTTGCAATAATCTCTCTCAAATTGTATGTTTTACAATGAATAGAATAAGTCCTATTTATATGTAACTCATAAAACCCTAGTTTAAATGAAATTTAAGTTTAAAAATACCTAAAGATACCATAAATAAAATTTTAACAAATATAGGAGATTACGCGACATTTTAAATTCGTGTCTCCAATTTGTACTATACGATCGCATAGTTCTAGTCTATGCGGTCGCATAAATCATTCTAACTCTCAACTTGGATTCTCTACACAGTTGCATGCGGCCACATGTAAATTTATACTATGCGGTCACATAGGCTTCCATTTCAGCTCCCTCTCCCGTTGCTTGAACCAAGTTGATCCGTCGTGTTTCTTCTTCCAAGCCCAACAAGAAAATTGTTGCTTTGGTTATTATGATCAATGATTCATTCACCGTAGCTTGAACAAGTAGTCTCATGACTAGAGATGACAATGGGACGGATTCGGGGTGGGGACATACCCCGTCTAAGGCGGGGCGGGGCAAAGTCATGCCCCGTTTACTACCCCGTTTATTATTATTAATTTTTTCCCCCTCAAATTCACAATTTGAAAAATGAAAACGCTAACATCCAAATTAAGTACTCAAAACAAACAATATCCGAAAATGAATAATTTTAAATACAATTACATTGTAACTAAATTTCACTTCTTTATCAAAAAATAAATTTGATATTTTTCCATCTTCACAACTTCATTCATCGGCAGGTTTAGAGATTGTAGAAGATGGATCCTGAAAAACAAAAAAATATTATACTCAATATCATCATAATAACTATGATTAAAATTTAAATTATGTGATAAATAAAATTACCTCATCATCAACATCCTCATCATTCATCTTGGAGCAACTTCCAAAATATGCAGACGGCGCAGAATTCGCTATTAATAAAATAAAATAATTAGTAATAAGAAAATTCATAAAAGAAACAATATAAAAAGCAAATGTTTATATACATTATACCCTGAATATCGGCCCATAACCAATTTTGAGCACTCATTAAAGCCTCCAAAGTTTTGGGGAGAAGTCTATTTCTGTGTGGACTAACAAATCTACCTCTAGTACTGAAAACAGATTCAGATGCCACAGTAAATACCAGGATGGCCAAAATATCTTTTGCAATTCGAGATAAAGTCAGATATTTGATTGAATTCACCTTCCACCATATCAATATATCAAAATCATCTGACCAAGGCAATATAGGCTACATCCAAAAAAGTATTAAGCTCGGTTTTCACACTACTAGGAGCTTCAACATTA